AGGAAGGCTTCAGTGCCCCAAGCGCCATCATGGAGCCTGAAGACCCCAGTTGTTAAGTGCCATTCATTGAGTCAGTTCCAACCCATAGTGACCCTGTATTGGGTTTCCGAGGAGCAGCTGGTGAGCTTGAACTGCCGGCCTTACAGTTCAAACAGCTTTGCAGTCTGGCGCATCAACCCACGGCGCCACCCCAGGACTCTAGAGACCCTAGACGGGGGCTTAAATCAGGATCTTGTTGCCCTAAATCATAAAAGGAGTTAAGGAGTTGACAGCTGATATTTTTAAGCAAGATTTTGGTTCCACATTGATTCTCTAGCAACCTAACTGAGCATTTAGGAGAAAATGTCCATATAGGCACTAGTCCACTAGTGTACTGCACACGTGATATTTTCTGCTCTTGTGTTGTTAGAAACCACTGAGTCGCTAGTGACCCTGTGCACAACAGAAGGACACGCTGCCTGCCTAGCCCTGTACCTTCTCAGAGTTGTTGCTACATTTAACCCTACCGCTGCTGCCACTGGGCTAAGCCACACCTCACTGGGTTCTTCCTCTTCTCTCCAACCCTCTGTTTTACTAAACATCATGATATCCTGGTGCCTCCTGACAATATGTCTGAAGTTTGAGAGACAAAGTCTGGCCATCCAGGCTTCCAAGGAACATTCTGGCTGTACTTCTCTCAGCACAGATCGGTTTGTTCTTTCGGCAGTCCATAGTACTTTTAATATTCTCCAACACCATAAGTCAGCTGCAGCAGTTCTTCTATGGTCTTCCTTATTTACTGTCCAACTTTTACCTGCATATGAGGCTATTAAAAACACCATGGCTTGGGTCACGCAAACTGACATCTTTGTTCGACACTTTCAAGAGGTCTTGTGCAGCAAATTTGTATCATCTGCATATCGCAGGTTGTTAATGAGTCTTCTCCTATCCTGATGCCTCCTATTTTTCTCTGATTAGTTGTTCACCTTAGAGATTAAACATGGTGAACGAATACGCTCCTGGCACACACCATTCAATGTTCCCTTTTCTGTTTGAACAACTGCCTCTTGGTCTAAGTAAGGTTCCTCCTGAGCACAGTGAAGTCTCCACAATACTGACCGGAGTTTTCTCATGATTCACACAGTCTTTGTATCAGTCAGTAAAGCACAAACATCTTCCTGGTCTCTGCTTTCAGCTAAGATCCATCAGACATCAGCAATGATTGCCCTCATTCTGTGTTCTCTTTTGAATCCAGCTTGAACCTCTGGAAGCTCTCTGTCAATGTATGGCTGCAGCCGTTTTGGAATTATTTTTAGCAAAATTTTGCTTGTGTTAGGGTATCGATATTACCTGATTTCTACAACATTCCATTGGGTCACCTCTCTTTGGAATGGGTGCAGATAAGGATCTCTTCCAAACAGTTGGCCAGAAAGGATCTCTTCCAAACAGTTGGCCAGATAGTTGTCTTCCAGATTTCTTGGCAGAGATGAGTGAAGGGCTCATCTGCAGGGCTGCCTCACTTTGCTGAAAGATTAATATTTATATGCCATCAACTCCCAGAATCTTCTTCTTTGCCAATGACTTTACGCACCTTGGACTTCTTCCTTCAGGATCACTGACTCTTGATCATATGCTGCACCTCGTGAAATGGCTGAATGTTGACCATTTGTTTTGGTACCATACCTCTGTTTATTCCTTTTCTCTTCCTTGGATGCTTTCTACATCATTCAATATTTTGCCCACAGAATCCTTCAATACTTCAAGTCGAGGCTTGAGTTTTTATCCAGTTCCCTGAGCTTGAGGAATGCTGAGCGTGTTCTCTTTTGATCTTTGCACATTTAATTATAATATTTCACTTGTCTTCTTGAGATTCCTTGTGAAGTTTTCTATTCAGCTCTATGATGTCATCATTTCTTCCATTTGCTTTTAGCATCTCTACGCTGGAGAGCCAAGTTTCAGAGTCTCTGCTGACATCCATTTTCTTTTCCTTCGTTCTTGTCTTAATCATCTTTTGCTTTCCTCCTGTGTGATACTCTTGATGTCATCCCAGAATTCTTCTTGTCTTTGGGCTTTAGTGTCTAATGCATCCAATCTGTTACTGCAGTGATCTCTGCACTTAGGTGGGGTATGTTTAAGGTCATATTTAGGTTCTTACAGACTTGTTTTCTTCAGCCTGAACTTGCATATAAGCAATTGCTGGTCTGTTCCACAGTCGGCCTGTGGCTTTTCCACAGGTGTAGTCAATTTGATTTCTGTGCATTCCATCTGGTGAGGTCCATGTGAATAGGCGTCTTTTATATTGTTTACAAAAGATATTTGCAATGAAGTCATTGGTCTTACAAAATTTTATCACATGTGACCTCCAGCATCATTTCTATCACCATGGACATACTTTACAACTGATCTTTTTTTTAACAACATTTTTAAAAATAACTTTTACACTTCAATCACCAGGAATGATCAATACATCTTGATAGCATGTTTGATCAATTTCAGACTGAAGTAGCTGGTACAGTAATTCAATTTCATCATCACTGGCTTCAGTGGTTGGTGCGTAAATTTGAATAATAGTGGTATTAACTGATGTTCCTTGTTGTTGTTATGTGCCGTGGAGTCGGTTCTGACTCATAGCGACCCTGTACAGGGTTTCCAAGGCTGTAAATCTTTACGGGAGCAGAATGCCTCATCTCTCTCCCGCGGAACAGCTGGTAGTTTCAAACTGCTGACCTTTTGGTTCACAGCGCGATTCGTAACCACTACGCTACCAGAGCTCTAGACGTATGGATATTATCCTATCACAGACAGCGTTGTACAAAAAGACACATCTTTGAAATGTTCTTATTGATAGTGGATGTACGCCATTTCTCCTCAATTTGTCATTCCTGGCGTAGCAAAGCATGTGACTGTCAGATTCATAAGGGCAAGTCCGTTTCAGCTCACTAACACCTAGGATATCGATGTTTATGTGTTCCATTCCATGTTTTATAATTTCCAATTTTCCTAGATTCATGCTTTGTCCATTATTAATGGATGTTTACATGGTGAACTCCACTGTGAGGAGGCAGCCCTTCCCCCTGCACATCCTGAGGGGCTCATCTTCCTGCACTGTATCGGCTAATACTCTAGTGCTCTTCCCAGGCTTAAGTATCCAATTGTATTAGTTTCATAAATATCACAATGTGTGTGTACAAAATTATACATGGCATTATTAGGGTGTGTGATAGAGTAAGCCTTCATAGTGACTTTGGTTTCTAAGTAAAGAAATGTCTTCAAAATTCAAATCATTTTGAGACTAAAAATACCAAAAACTCAGCAACCAAAGCCTCTAATGCCAACCAACTGATGAATTTTACTTCGTACCTGTCGCAGACAAGTTACCGTATTTATTCCATGCATCCAACCCTAGTCGCGTTAGACTGTAAGTGAGCACCAGGGCTGACGAGACAGGAGCGTGTGTCATCAAGCTCCCTGAGAGAGTGATGTCTGCGCTTGTGCTAACTAACCTGGCGTCACCCACCCCTCAGCCCCCTGGCACGGAGCCTTTCTCTGCCCCTCACCAGCCAGGACTCTACAAGTCTGTTAGCTCCCTTCATGCAAATGAGAACAACAGGCCTGTTCTCCCTGCAATAAGGTGTTGGCATCTCTCTGCTCGGGAAGAAGTCACCCGATGCTTAAAATGAAATCCAGGTGTGGCACAAAGCACTGTAAATTAGCATGGGGCTGCTGACTGCAAGGGCAGCAGTTCACACCCACCAGCCACTCTGAGGGAGAAAGATGAGACTGTGTTCTCTCGTATGGAGCAGTTCTACTGTCTCATCACAGGGTCCTTGAAAGTGGGGATCAACTTGGTCAAGTATTGTTAACGGCACCTGTAGGTGTGTATGCCTGTGAGAGCCTGCATGTACGTGTGTGTGTACATGGTATGTGTGCATACCTGGTGATGTCCATGTCCTGCTGTCTCTGACATGTTTCTGTCCCTGTAGGAGTCACACTGCCTGGCACTGGATCCTCTGTGATCATTACCTAGAAGATAAAACAGTATAGACTTTTAAATGTGCACGGACAGATTTTAAATGTACTAGTGTAGTGTAGGAGTTCTGGTAGCGTAGTGGTTACAAATTGAGCTGGGAACCACAAGGTCAGCAGTTCGAAACTCCCAGCTGTTCCGCAGGAGAAAGATGAGGCTTTCTAGTCCCGTAAAGATTTACAGCCTCGGAAACCCCGTACAGGCTCGCTATGACTCCACGGAACGTAACAACAACAACAACAAGTGAAGTACTTATAAGTCGGGCTGCTAACGTCAAGGTCGGCAGTTTGAAACTACCAGCCATTCCACAGGAGAAAGATGAGGCTTTCTGCTCCCATAAAGATTTATAGCCTCGGAAATCCTGTAGACGGTCACTATGAGTCGGAACCGACTCCATAACACACCACCAGCAGCCCCCTCTCCTATTCCTCCTACCTCACATCACAGCTTACAGGCATCAGCCAGTGCCGAGGATACATCTGATAAAAAGCCCTACTTGCCTGTGAACTTCAGAGTAGCAAACTTATATCTGCTTCTTGTTAAGTATCGTGGAGTCGGTTCTGACTCATAGGGACCCTGCACAGGGTTTCTGAGACTGTAAATCTTTATAGGAGCAGAAAGCCTCATTTTTCTCCCGTGGAACAGCTGACAGTTTCAAACTGCTGACCTTGAGGTTTGCAGCCCAAGTCGTAAGCACTTGTTAAATACAGAACTAGGTTCCCAGATATGAAATGTAAGTTGTCAAATGTTTACTCTTATCATTTGTAACTTCAATCACGAGTCAAGCATCCTGTTAAGTACAATCAAGTCGGTTCTGACTCACAGCCATCTTGTATAGGATTTCCAGGAGTAAATCTTTGCAGAAGCAGAAAGCCTCATCTTCCTCCCATGGAGCATCTGTGCTTATCCTACAGAGCCGCTGCATACTCCTTCCAGAAGGAGATCATGCATGGCCCTACAGCACCCTCACCATCACTCCTGCTGTTTTCCTTGACTTGTTTATGGGTGCAATCCATACTGGTGGCTGGATGTAACCTTCACATCTCTTCAGTAAGTGCTTCAAGGCTTTGCTTTCAGGAAACCAGGCTGTGTCATCTGCATAACAAAGGCTGTTAGTGAGTCGTCTTAGTGAGACTGAAAGTTTTGTGTCCAGGAGACTTGAGAGACTTGGGCGGGGATTCTCAGTGGCTTAGGGATCTAAGTCAGGAAATCACCTCCATGCTTACGTCTGCTGTGAGTGGCCAATCATCAGAAGCAAAGTCCCTGGGGGGTGGGGTCTACAACACCTCTCATCTTACACAGGAGAAAGCAGCGAGCAGAGAGAGGGACCAGTTACCTCCTTGAAAATGGAGTGCTTGCTCTGGACCTGGGGTCCCTCCACCACTGTGAAGCTCCTAGGTCCATGGAGATCTTTAAGGAACACTGGGCCTTAGCTGAAAGGAGACCACGACCTTTCTCCAGAACTGACAGAAAGACAGTGTCTTTCCCTAGAGCTGGCACTCTGAGTTTGTAATTCTCGCCTCCCAACCTGTGAGAGGAGTTCCGGGGTGACGCCGTGGGTTAATGTGCCAGACTATAAAGCCATTTGAACTGCAAGATGGCAGTTCAAACTCACCAGCTGCTCCTTGGAAACCCTATGCAGGGTCACTATGGGTTAGAACTGACTCGATGGCATTTCACAACAATCTGTGAGAAGACATGTCTCTTTGTTACATGCACCGACTTTGAGATCCCCCTTCCATCAGCACTACTGGAGTCCTGCTATGGTGCTGGAGAATAAGAACTGGACCACAAGGTCGGCGGTTCAAACTCACCAGCCGCTCCTCAGAAACCCTATACAGAACCACTGTGAGTGATGGTACTAACAACCATCCATGCTATCCAGCTTCTCAAATCATTTCCTCAGCATGAGGAGGGGAAACAGACTCTAACACACAGCCCTGGATTTAAGGCAGACAGTGCCCCTTCCTGTTCACACAACACAATGACGTGTCCTTGAAGTCCTATTCTTCACAGCTGGATCCATTATTTGTTATGATGCACATAGTGGTTTTGTGTTAATAAATAAGGGTAAACATTTAAAAAGGAACCTTGGGTAGATTGGATGGCAAAAGCCAAGTATCGCTTCATATGCCAACAGCATCTTAAGCAGAAACATGAAGCCTAAACGGTTACTAGATGGACTGCAGCCATCTGGGTTTTGAATCCACAGACCCAAGTGACCTGGCTATGTCCCCATTAGGAGGCAGGCTCTCAGGCACTGTGAGGCTTCTTGGGAAAGCTCGGGGTTTTTATCTGCAACCCTCACTGCAGACGTGGGCTGCTGGCAGTGTAGACAATCCTCAGAGGGAGGATGGTCAACACCAGGTGGTACTTACTGAGAACTGGCCTGGTACCACAGCATGTCTTTTGGGCCTGAGCCCTGTGTTAGTGTGTTTATGTATCTAGTGTGTCCCTCATCCCAACATGGATTCGTCACTCTAGGAGTGAAGACTCCAATGTCTGCACAGCTCGTCTGTGACCTCACCAACACAGGGTGCCTGCCCTGAGTGTGGGGCCTGGACTCCAGAAAGGTCAGTACTGCTGTGTCTGCAAAGGAATGCCAAACTAGAAGAACTTGGCATCCTCAGGTCAAACCTGGGGCACACACACAGCTGTGAGGGTACACTGAGATAGCTGCCGATTCTCAGTGTGACCAGATGGTCAGACGTGAGGGTGTCCTGAGACAGCTGAGACTCGCTGAGACTGGGCACGCCATACTCTATAACTTCCACTGGTTCCCAGAAAAAGTGACTATTTTGACCTCTTAACGAATTGTTTAATCTCAGTGAAGGGTCTACTAGTATTCACTGTACAATTCTGCCAACATTTTCTCTAAGTTTGGCCTTCATCAAGATAAACTGGGGAAACAGTCAAAGTGCTCTATTACTGAACATTTGTTACCAAGAAAGGAATCCAAGAGAAACCTTAAAGCATTTTTTCTAAAAGATGGACCTAGTGAAGCGAAGCCCTGCTTACTTTCCTGGCTGACCCGCCTGATCACTCACAGCATGGGTCACGTCTCATCCTGCTTCCTGACATTTCCTGAATTCCGTTCCCAGACCTTACAGTGCCCTTTTCAAGGTGCTACACAAAGACCTGCTGACAAAATATTCGTGAAACTGGAAAATGGGAGTTGTGAAATGGTTTTCAAATAGAGAATGATCAACTTACTTGAATGAGACATTTCTTTCGCCCACAGCCTGTGGATCTCGAGAGTGACACGAGACTTGACTTCATTTCAGTTGAGGATATTCGCGCCGTGGACTGCATCCAGTGAAGCAGCCCCTGCCGGCCGCCTCCTTCCAGGCAAGCTGCCTCCTGCGTGAAGTCTTTGCTGACCCTTCCTAGGGGATTCTCTGTGCGTATTACTCAGCTTTGTATCATCAGCCAGGTGACTGAGTGTTAAGACGTCATACCCTGATGACTAGGCCAGCCTGGAGGACACAGTGAATGTTTGTGGCTGCCCTGCATTGATGTGGTCTCCCGGCGTTACTTTCCCAACAGCGTGTGCTCACTGCATGTCTGGCACACTTTTTCATCATGCGTGGCACACTTAGAAGACTATAGATAGTGTCAACAGAACTTCTGTGTGTACTGGGAACCAAAACAGTCGTGTAGCTAGAAGCCAGCCTGGACTGTCTCTGAGGCATGCCTGTCTATGAAAACTGTGTCCGTGAAAGTACGAGGAAGGAACATCGTGTCTGAGCTGTGGTCTTCAAGCGTTTTCTTGTATTCTGAAATCTAGAATTGTTTTCCTGTGCTACTCACCCCGTACGGTATGCTTCAAGATGAAAACAAAGTCACTTCATCCAGGAGGATGGAGAAAAGCACATCCATCCCTGTGAGACTGCTTACCTTCACTCACTTCACAGTAACAACTTCAAACTCACGCAGGCCAGCATGTCAGAAACAAGCATGTCTTCATTTCACTGACAGTCACTTGGAACCTCAAGCATGGCAGTTCAAGCCCACCAGCCACTTCCTGGAAAACCCTATACTGATTGGGTCACTATGGGTCAGAATCGACTCGACGGCACTTTAAAAAGAAAAACAACAACGAAAAACTGACATAATCCACGCTTTAAAACTTGGAAATGTTGGGACAGCTGGACACACATAGCAAAGTGGAACGCATGTTTCAATAGGGAGGATTGTAATCGACGTAAATAAACCACAGTGAGTATCAACAGCTGAGGGGAAAGCTGACCTGGTCTGTGGCCCTTTACCACATTCACAATGAAAAGTTCAAGCACGTTTGAAATGCATTATGAAAGCCCTGTTAGAACTCTGAAACCTCGTAACACATCCTCTGGATATACACTTCTTACCACAAGAGGCCGGACTCTGCCAGAGAACATAAAGCCACATGAGGAAGCCTGGGCTGGGCCTACACCGAGACTCATCTGAGCCCACCGCACTGGTTGCTGCTGGGAAGAAACGGCAGCAGAACCCTTTGGCGGAAGCTGGGCTGCAAGAGCCATGGGAAGCCCAATCTGCCCATCCCTTCCTGTCAACCTTGACCTGAGAGGAAATGTGAGGGGAACACTTTTCACGTGTGTCTAAGGGCAGGAGAAAAACGAGGCTGGCTTCCTGTTCCTGTAAATATGTTTGCCTTAGAAACCCTATACATGGTCACTATGAGTCACAACCAACTTAACAGTGCTTAACAGGGCTGGCCCATGAGCCTGTGTCACAGGCCACAAGTGGGCCAGGAAGAACAGAACACTCTGGCAGCTCAAGTTTTCTCTCACTGATGCTGGTGCTGACTTCTAACAGCTACAACCAACCCTCTGCCCCAGCAGGATAGACTGCTGGCTTACAGTGAGGACGGGACCAAACCCACTCTGAAAATACATCCGTTCTACGCAAGCAGTTGGAGTCGTGCTGTGGCATTGTTAAATCAGCACTGGACTGCTAAGCACAAAGTTGATGGTTCAACCCATGAGCTCCTTCTCAGGATCCTATACAGCATTGCTGTAAGACTGACTCGATGGCAGTTAGCAACACCAATAGGAACACTTGGGTGTTCAGACGCACCACTGACAGGAAATGAGCTCCAACAGAACTTCAGAGCCCAGCAGTCACAGGGTAGAAATAAGGCGGCTGCAGTGTGCCCGAGAAAAGTTACACACAGACTTACCTTGTCAGAAATAAGGCGGCTGGAGTGTGCCCCGAGAAAAGTTATACACAAACTCACCTTGTCAGAAATAAGGCGGCTGGAGTATGCCTCGAGAAAAGTTATACACAAACTCACCTTGTCAGAAATAAGGTGGCTGGAGTGTGCCCCGAGAAAAGTTATACACAAACTCACCTTGTCAGAAATAAGGCGGCTGGAGTGTGCCCCGAGAAAAGTTATACACAAACTCAC